AAAGCTAATTTTTAATCCCCAGATAATGGCTGATGGAATAAGATATATATATATATATATATATAGCAATGATGTTCTGTCCCAAACACCATCCTATACTGAAGAAACATCAGAAGAATGTTTTGTTCCTTTGTTTTCTGAGGCGATGACTGTCTTAAAGGAGCAGAACAAAGCTGCGGGGCTTTTTCATGATTATGAAGTCACCTCCCACACATCATAATCATCATGCAGCTTGCTGTAATTTTAAAACTTGAATATTAGTTTTCTTTCTAAAACTCCAAATTGTGAGGTGCTGACATTATTGCATTTATGCACATCTTGAAACTGAACAGAGTCTGTAAAAGATATCTATGTCAGATTTAAGCAACACGGACTGGCGTCTAACACTTGGGTATGCCCCTTGCATAAAGGTGAAGGCCTCTTATGTAATTATTACCATAATGCAGATTTATTGTGCATGAAAAGGCAAAGAGACACATGAAAAGATGCATACATACAGAGAAGAAAGTATCCAGTAAAGAATTTCACATTCATTGCTTAATCCAAAGGTAATGAAAATAAATAATATTATTGAAGAATTGACACAGTTCTGAATCAACACTGATGACATAATAGAGTAATAATATTTTAGAGTATTTCTCCTAAATAAAAGTAAAAAAAAATTGCATTCATCTGTTCCACTATTCCAAAGAGTTAAACAGTCTCTTTTCCAATCTAGAAAACTTTTTAGTGTAAGGCATGACATTTATAAAATTGTAAGTTCTGAGTTTTATAGATTACATTAGCTTTTGTAACAATTTACCTAATATGATCTACAACATTTTATGAAACCAGATATCCCTCACCTCAGTTAATTCTATCATTAGAGAGGAAATAATAAAAAAGAGTTCAATATTAGATTGCACTGTTAATATTACTCTTGGAAAACACTAGGGAAAGGATTGAAAGGAGAATTATTCATTACACTGCAGTCTTACCTTTTACGAATGTTTTCATAATCAATTGTGTTGATCAGTTTGGACTCCAAACTTTTAACTAATAAAAAATGTGTTAGGGGGTTATTTTTTAGATTTTATATTTCAAAATAGTAATTTTTATTTTATTTAGAAACATATAAGAAACAGTTGAATTACATAAGGTATATATAATACAAAAGAAAAAAGGAGAAAAAAAAGAAGAAAAATGTGATCAGGAACCCAAAATGCTTCTAATATAACTACTTGATTCTCACATTTCCAGTTATTCTGTCTGTAAATGAGGAATACATATGAGAACAATTACTTTTTGTGAACAGCGTCTCTCCAGCTCTAACAGCAAAGGACTGAGCTTGGGCTGCACTACATGATCAGGCATCTGTGTTAAAATGCCAGTGGCTACCTGCATTTTGTTCGGACACCACATGTACACTGATACATGCGTAAGCTAACTTAGAACTCATTTATCTACAGTATACTAGGGATACTGCCAATCAGTGACATCTCCCTCTGTAAAAAGAGGTCAAGAAAAGACCAAGGCATTATCAAGAGGCAGAGATCAACTTTGTTTATTTCAGGATATATTCAAACAAATGTCTGAGAAATATGGTCTGCTACAAGGATACAGGAGTTTTAATGAATAAACAAGGACATTTGCTATGTACTTTTCCCACTTAAAATGTGATTATTAAAGGATACATATATACTACATAAACACTGTAAGATGCACTTTACATGCCTTGGACAGTAAATCATTCAAATATGCAATTTTCATAGACTACTAAAAGAAATAATTACCTTTTTTTAGCTAATAGATAAAAGTAGATGCACAGCACTGGTATGTCTCAGTAATATTAGGTCCATAATGCTACTTAGCCATACTTTCTTCTAGAAAATACCCTATTAATTTTTGCCATGCCCTTTAGGTCTTTTGCCATACAAACATGAAATAAAACTAATCCACTACTGCCATTAAGTAAATTTTGCCAGAAAAAATTATATAGCTAAACATAAAAATCTTGCAGATTGTTGTTGGGGGTTTTTCCCCCTCTTTCATCCTTTACCCTTTATTATTTTTATTACATGGACTGTAACTAATCAAAATCATATTGTTTTTAGGCAATTAGATTATATATATGCACTTTCTTATTCTAAACAGAAGCATTCTAAATACAGGAGAAAACATCTGCATTTCTAAAATCATCTTTCTACTGGATGTCTATCTTCCATTGATAGCAAAGTATAAAAAAAAAATCACTTCTTCAGAACGAAAAATTTAGAATAAAGAAGTCATACACAGGTGGAGCTCCATCTCATCTACCTACAGCTGCTTTTAGCAATATTATGAAAGTAATGCGCCAGAGACCACACTTTTTTCTAATTCATTTTTTACTGTATTTTCACCAGGGAGCAATGAAAACGGGACTCCAGGTAAGCTGACTACACACACTAGTAGTAAGACACAGCTCACAAGACATCAGTCCTCTGATATGTACCAAAATAAATGACTGAAAGAAAACTATTTATGAGAAAGTTGTACTTCTACCTATTTTGACACTTAACCATAAATCCAATATGTCAAAAACTTACATGACAGAATAACGTCAACCACCAGAATAACATCAACACACAAAAACAACAGGTCTTCTTCATTTATCAGTATTTCTTAAATAAACTCAGTGACAGCTATGTACTACTGGTGTCAATATACTCCCACTCTGCACAATTACAGATCATCAGAACAACTGTTCATCACTGACTGAACACTCCCAGTAATCATAAACCTTCTCATATGCACGGACAAGGCCCTGAATAGTTAATGTCAAAGTAATCAGTCTTTATCCCTGACACAAACTCACATGTTGTGGTTGTGCTGAAAAACAGTCTTTCAGGAAATACAGGAGAAAACATCCTACAGACTCATAACGCAGGTATTTCCCCGATCTCTTCAATTAAAATCTTTAATAAGAAAATGATTAGTGCCAAATGTAGAAAAATAGTTCTTAGAAATGGGTAGGTAGCAACCCTTCTAACCTTACTAGACTAGGTAGGATTTATACCAATAACCTAAGATCAGAAGCTCTATTTCTGAAAAGAAGTCATCAACTATCTTATTGCCTCCAAAATTCAGGTAAAGGATTTATGTGTCTTGTAATCTTCATAATTATTGATGATATTTTACTCAAAGCTTTTAGTTTTACTTCTACGATACTTGCAATTCAATCACTGCTGTCTACCACACAGCCTTGACATTGATTACTAATACAGTATTGCAGTTACATCGCCATGGCAACTTGTGTTCAGATAACTTCTCAAACCGTATTTCTATCAACCACAGGAGATGTCCTATAAATCACAGTCAATCCTAAAATATGTAATATTTATTAAAAAAACCCAAACCACCTAATCTTCCATTAAAATCCCACAACCCTTCTAGTTTGTGTAATTTATCAATTTTCTCACTTTTTCAGTTCCTTTCTTCCTTTCTAGCAAACCAGTATTCATTACTAAGGAGTTGAAGTTAGTTTCTATCCAAAACCTAAGGAGATGGCAGAAAGAGGTGTGCAGTCCCTCAGAGACAGAAGTTTTGAATCTGAATTGTGTAGATAGAAGAAGATTTTGGCTAGACAAGCCAGACTATTTTCTCCAACAGTAAAGCTGTTGAAATTTGTGGTCCACTTCCTCTGATTTTCTTCTCATTTCCTGCCATCTCACTTCCATCTAGCTCACTTAATGGACAGAAGACCCTTCAGATTTTTGGCTGAGTCAGTCTTTCTCTGGTTATTGTGCTGCAACTGGCTTCCCAAGGAAATGAAGGACCATCAGATGTGCTACCACAAAGGAGAGAGGGAACACAGCTGAGAGTTGTACATCCAGTAGCAATGAACAAGTAGATTGATTTGACCGGGTCCAATCTGAATGCCAAGTACATTTGCACAAATAAAATATGACACCATTCTTTTGCTTCCCAACCCTGCTGTTTGCTGCTCTAAAAGGATCAATATTCTGTGTATTCCAAAGTATGCAGAGAGCAGTTTGTCCCAGTGTCAGGGAGATCTAATGGTGCTCTCCTACCCCACACTTGTGTATGAACAAAAGACACTACAGTATATTAAAGCTATGTTCATAATTCCTAAGCTAACAAAAGTACAACCTAGTATTATGAACTTCACCCTCAGCTCCTTTAATATTTTCAATTGTAAGAAAAGTAAAAATTTCATTTTAAACTAATTTGTTGAAGCAGCAAAATTTTTAAAGTGTTGTATATTAAGTGCAGAGTTTAAATATTTTTCTTATATGACTGTCCTCAAACAACAGCTTAAATGCTTAATACACTTGCGAATGTGTCTAAACACTTCAAAGTCCAAGCTTAATACTTTATTATTCCAGCTTAGCTTCTCATATCCAAATCTATTCCGTAAGATTCATTATTATATAGTGCTTTCTGCTACACAGATATTTTCTGCTGGGGAGAAACTGAAAGCAGTTAACACCTGCGTTTTGAAAATGAAATTTTAGTTTGACGTGAATCAAAAAAGCATTAGAATTAACAGACAAGCATGCTGCAAACAAAGCTGACAGTCATCTTCAGTATAAAACAGAGCGGTGTTTTTAATAGCATGCAAATACAGTTGACATCCATGTCTTTATTCAATTAGTTCCTAGTTTTCAAGGGCAGAGTTGTGTGCACACATCCAAACTGCATTTTCTAATTTTAGAGACTTTCTATATTGAATATTTAAAGCTACTCAGTATCTGAATCAATTTAACAGAATTTCACTTAAGGTACTTCTCAATTTTGGCTTTCAATAATTTACATTGTATACCTCAACACTGTTCATGACCTGATCCATAATTACTTCCAAGCAGATCTCTTGGTTTTCTTTTTGAAGTATTTCAGAACAGTTATACTTCCGTGTGTGCACATTTTTGTATGCCTCTTGGTATTATAAAAGTTTCATACCAATCCATCTGTGTATCCTACTTACTTCTGTGGCTAAAATAGCAGGTAAAACAGGCACTTACTCTTCAGTGGTTATAGGGCACTTCTCCACTCCTCCTTTTCCAAATGACTTGACAAATCAAATCAACTGCCTTTTTAGCTGATGGGAAACAAAACCAAAAAACCCACACATGTCAGAATTCAAGGAAATGAGGGAGAGGGTATTTTACTAAAAAAATCTCTTTCAGAGAGAAGTGTAACAGTGGTATTAACACAAACTTTTTCTCATAACACCTAGCAAGGACCTCTGAACATGAAAATCCTTCACAAGAATACTGTGGCATGCATAGAATTAACATATTTAGACAATAAGAAAGAAAAAAAACCAGAAACAATAATATTAAAATTATATAAATAAATATAAAAATATCTCAAGTCTCTGTCTTTTTACCAAACTGTGAACCATCAATATTTCAACAATGAATTAATTTTTTCTAATGCCTTCTCCATTGGTCTACTGTATTAAAGGATTAGTCACGGTTTGTGTCTACCACCATACTAGTATCAATTTCATTTAATTTGCAAATACAAATGTTTTCCCCTTTATACAGAAATAAGCTACTTTGAAGAAGCTTTTATTTATCTATTTTTTAATACAAAAGCTGCAAATATCCATTGGAGAAAATGTAATTGAAAAGAAGACAACTGTAAGAAACATATTTTCCAAAGTAGAGGATAGCCACTGATTATCTAACATTCCCCATAGGTACCAGTAAGCAATGCAGTGTTAGCACTGGCTATTCAACTGAATTATTAATAATGGTAATTCTATCACAAACAAAATGTTCTGGAATTATTCCTATAAAACTAGTGTGATGAAGCACCTACAATTTACAGTAAGCCTCATTCATAAGACAGCAGATAACAGAACATTAAATAGTCTTTTCAAGCCTAATGAATATTAGAGATGTCACCACTGTTTCACAAAGTATGTAAAACCCATCATGACTAAAACATGAAATAGGAACAGTTTGCTTTCTAAAAGTCAACAGCATTCTCATACCTCTTGTCAACACCAGGCACAGATTTTAAATGACCACCACAAGTTACAAAATGTTTTTCTATTCATAGCAGCTGCTGGTGATGCTGAGAGATTACATGAAGAGCTCTATTGCGCTACACACACCCACTCCTTACACACTGCTAGGAGACAGCCCCTGTATTGCATAGGTGAAAATGTACTAAAAATATATTTCTGGAGAGAAGCATTGCCTGAATGAAAAGTGGCCATTATCTCCATGTTACAAACAGAAAAGTGAGGCATGCCAAATATCATGGGGTAAAATCTACTTGAGAGCAGTGCTCAGATAAAATGAGGTCTGAACAACATCTGTCCACTCTACTAGCTCAGCTACGCACAGAAGCATAGATGAGCTGCTACTAACTTCCCATCCTTGCAAGGCCTTCTGGGCAGGAGACCAGAAGCAGTGTGCTAACAATTGCTTATTGGGTTTAGATGTGGAGAAAGTCAAAGAGACTGACTGAGGGATCAGTGAGGCCTGTGCTAACGAACTAAGTGTAAAACCATGAACAGGGCTGCAACCTTGCAGGAGGAGCCCAGGGTTGAATCACTGCAGGGGAACGGAGTTCTGTCCTATGGGCCTGGGGCATCACCCCTGCTGGCAGTGGATGGCCTCTCCCCTGAGCCTGTGGTGCTGATCATGTCCATGAGCAGGGCCACTGCAGATGCGGCACATGTGAATATACACACTATACCAAAAATGCAAGTGTATCGTGCTCCTCCTTGGCACACCTTGCCCAGCTGTGAGACATTAAATTACTGACTCGGACTAACTAAAGTGTGTGTGGGGGGGAAAGGGACGGGTCAAATTTCATGGAGGTGAGGTGATGCCCTGTCTCAAACTGCAGCCCCTCTGAGCCTCCTTGGGCAGCCCTGGAGCAACTGTCTGTGAACAGCATCCCGGGAGCATTGCCCACACCACAGCTCAGAGCCCCTGACCCAGCCCCAGACCGGCTGGCACACTGGAAGTCCTGCCTGGGGGGGGTGGACACAGGGGGGTCAAAGCAAATAAAAGCAGCAAGATGTGTTCTCTGTCTTCATTTCAACCCTACCATTTGGTCATGTGGAAGCTGGACTTGCACAGGACTCTCTAGTGGTAGCTATAATTTTTCTCTTTTTCTCTCTCTTTCTTTACTTCTCTTAATCTCCTTTCTTATTATTTTGAGTAACTTGAGAATGAATGGGTTGGATTTTGCTAAATGGTGTTAAATTGCTAAAGCAACATGTTGTTTTGTGGAATGCTTTATTTTGGTTGAACGTTACCCTTTAAATTTGAGTCAAGTTCCTTATTTTCTAAAGTTTACCAGTAAAGTACTTCCTGAGAAAACATGTGCAGCATCTTCTCCTTTGTGCTCTCTCTTAAGGTGTTAAAAGAACCGAAGGCTCTTCTAGTATGTCCAGAGGGCAAATATTGTTGGAGCCTTGTATATTTTTAAAGTAAACCCCTCTGATGAGCTCGTAGCTTAAGAACTTGGGGTCTTACACCTCTGGCAATACTCAGCCAATACAGAAATGAAAACCTGTATCAATGAGTAGAGTGGTCCTCTTGCAGTTGCCTCACCCCCAAATTCCCTGTGACTCCAACCAACCTGCAGAAGCACCACTAGATAGCTGTAGCAGAATAAAAACCAGGTTTTTCTAATACCCAATGCATTCCAAGCACCTTACCATCAACTTACTTCTTACAGCTTTTTCCTTTCTTATTCCCTAGAAAAAAAAATCCACCTAGTATTATTTTTTAACTTACCAATACTACAATTAAAATTTTATCAAGAAAATTTATTTTTTATTTATTTTTGTTACAGAGGGAAATTTAGTTCAAATTTCTGTTATTAACATTTTCATTCTTGCACTGCAGGAAACATCAAGTTGGAGATGAGAGATCCTGTCAAAAAAAAAAAGCTCATTTTCTGATGATAGAGTACTTAATCGAGTGCTTAATTAATCTCCCTTCCTCACCTATTTCAAATTAATGTCATCTTATCTCCAGAATGACACCTGCCAGTACAGGTGTTTTACTTGGCATTTCTGTGTGTGCTCAAGTCCTGCAGAATGAAAACAGAGTTGGAGTCAGGAGACAATGCTGGAAGGGCACAAACGAGAACACCAGTGTGGTTATTGCATGCTCTGGTTCCCAAAGCTACTCCATGAAAAATATTATTTCTACAAAATTGCAGAAGAGACCTGAGAAGAAATGTCAAGGAATAGAAAGGGCAAAGCACTTTCCTGTCCTCTTTTTGAGAACTCCTGGAGAGATAAAGGTAAAGGAAATTGCAAACCGCCAATAGAAAAGCAGAAGAAGCAAAGTAAGGACATGGGGCTACCACCCAGTTTTGCCATTAGAACACAGGGAAAAGCAGAAGTGAGAGCTCTTACAAGACTCCTTTCTTTCATAGTACATAAATGGTGATTATAAGAAAGATGGGAACAAACTTTTTAGTAGGGCCTGTTGAAATAGGACAAGGGGTCAGGGTTTCAAACTGAAGGAGTGTAGATTCCAACTGGATATAAGGAAGAAGTTTTTTACAATGAAATGGTGAAACACTGGAAAAGGTTGCCCAGAGGGGTTGTGGATGCCCCATCCCTGGAAACATTCAAGGTCAGGTTGGATGGGGCTTGAGGAATCATATAGTTGAAGATGTCCTAGTTCACTGCATAGAAGTTGCACTAGATGAGTTTTAAAGGTCCCTTCCAACCCAACCCATTCTATGAGTTGATGATTCTATGATCACTGCGGAAGCAACTGTTTACCCTTACGGAAACAATTAGCTAAGGAACTGGTTCAGGAAATGAAAAAATAATGATTTATCAAGGAGATCAGTAGTGTCTGGAGCAGGAAGACATTAGATCAGCTCAATGGATTTAGAAGGCCAAGATAAATTGGCTGAATGCTAAACTGTAAAAGAACAGTCTGAAAAGGCTCTCTTCAGAGTTTTTATATTTTTTGCTTACTTTTTATCACCAAATGATGAAAACAGAGTGAGCTAAACAATCTACCCAATAGTACCAAGCTCTTAACACTCAATCTCCAGTGGATGAACCTCAGCCGTGAACCTCTCCATGTCTGTTACCTTCTATATTCCAAATAGTGTTGTGTATCTTTTGCAATAAAAGGGCTTGAATGAATATTAATAAACAATTTTTACACTGCATAATCTGCTCTTCTTTCAGCTGTTCAGTAAAAAATACCATAAGGTTTATCTAGAATTCTTTTTTTTAAAAAGCGATCTAGAATTGTAAAAATAGTAATAATTAAAAAGAAATAATGTATTTATGTTCTTGAGCTCTAGCAAAACAAAGCACAACACATTCCATCACTTCCTGCAACTACACTTATTTAAATTAAATGCAGAAACATTCATCAGCAAGAGATACGAGTTTATAACTTTGGTTATAAACCTTAGGGTAATTCCTGCAGATTTTTTGTCTTGAGGTCTGTGATTCATCTATTCTTTCTAAAATGGAAATATGCTCCACAATTTCTACTAGACACTGTTGTAACATCAAATACAGTGTGTCTATTTATCAGAACAACCCATTAACTTCACTTTTTTTTATCACTTCTCTAGCTTGCCTTGCTCATCCTGCACCCTTTCTTTGTTGTGCAAGAGTTTACTGATACCATAATTAAAACTAGAAATTTAACTCCAGAAAGGGCTTAGTTTTACCAGTGTAAACTTTATTTTTGGGCAGAAATAAAAAGCTTATTAAGTGATTTCAGAAACCAATTACTTTATTTGAAACCGTGCACGTACAGTATCTCAGAAGCTGCTCAATGCTCTGTATTCCTACAGATGTCCTTCATAATGTTACAATTTTTGTAGTTCCTAATGAAGAAATAGTTAGTCTGTTTCGTATCACTACTAATATTTTCCCAATTGTTCTGTAGAAAATTACAGTGTGCCATCACAAATCCAGTTACAATACACATAATGATAGTCTTTGCTAACAGAATGACCCTAAATGATTCTTTGGATATCTAAAATATTTATAAAATATGGGCACAGGAAAAAAAGAATAAAGTTTAACTAACAGAAGTATTTTCAGTGCTTGCTAAGGAAAGCAGTCCTCTCTGTGACCGACAGAGGAAACCTTTAGGAAACAACTTCTGGGAACCAAATTAAAGTGCTCAAATGCTGTTTCTGAAATGGTTATTTAAATTATTTCTAAAGTCACCTCTGCCACTGTGCAATAGTTATTATTAATAGGGAGAAACAAACACTGTATGCAGTTATTCCTTTCACTTATGATTAAAGAAAAAAAAACAAGTGGCTGAAATAATTTAGTACAACTTTTGACCAAGCGCTAAACAAAACAGGTCACAATCAAAGCCTTTACTTGAACTGTGAGAGGCTTCATTCCTTGCATGGCTCCAGTATTTGCAGTGGGTTTACAGCAGAAACAGGCTAAAGCTTATTGTTTGGAACAGAACACACAGCACTAAATTTTGTGATCTGCTACGCACCTCTGAGCAGAGTAACGAGTTATGTTTTAACTCATATTCCAACTGTGTCAACAAAAAAAGCTCCTGGCAGATCAATAAAAGAAGTAAAGTTCAACACTGCCTTCTGTATCTTGAAGCAAACACAAGATGCAAATAACAATTTAAAATAACCGGACAGATATTATCAATTAAGTTTGAAGTAAGCAAGGCCATTTTTTTTGCTTTTCTCTTAATCTTGCCTGAGATAGAGCAGAGTAAGATCACTAAGATAATTTACCATTAGCAAAGCTTAAGGTTGGAAGCTTTCAGGTCTCTGTTAGGTGCATGCATTCCCCAGTGTGATGTTCTTTTTTCTATACTTAGCTGGAATCCCACTGAGCAAATGGATTGCACATACAAGAGCAGAACAAAATCAGGCTTTTAGTGTGACAACTTTTCTCCCTACGCTGACTGGGGAAAAAGAAAGAAGATTTAAAGTATAAAAGAATAAATATAAATAATTTCAGGGAGCCTATTTAGTGAGTGGATTTGTAACAGGTTTTAGAAAACCATATCTGAGGTCTACGTGTAATCAACATTAACTAAATAATTACACACAACATGATTGATTAAATTTCAAGAAGTAGGGGAAATAACTAAGCCACTTACAAGTTAAGTAAGTCACTTAACTCTCTTTTCAGCATTGTTTAGTCACCATGAAAATAGAGCAAATAAAATTAGCTACCATCTGACATCAGTATTTCTAAACTCTCAGAGCCAGGGGTAAAAAAAAATCCAGGGAAAATGCACTGTAACCTCCCATAACCTCAAGGCTGTGGTTGCATTCCACATACAGAAGCTCAGGAATCCTTAAACTCAGCAGTACTTTGGTGCCTTCTGCTATGACACTGAGGCATGAACACATGCTGTAGGCAGACTCTCAGCTCCATGGGTATAACGCCTACGATGTCTGGAAAAGCTAGGATCTACAACACACTAACAGGAATTCAGGCAAAAGTCTACAAAAGCTCTCTATCAAATGAATCAAGCCAAACATGTTTCTGATTAAGTGTTTTCACTTGAGATACTCAATGTCTTCTTCACCTCAGTCTTTATTTGAAAAGCTGGCCTTTGGGAATCACAGGCCCTTTGGGCCATTGGCAAATCCTGGAGTAAGGAAGACATCCTTGGTGGACGAGAATCAGATCAGGGAAGTTTTAAATAACCTGGACATACATAAGCCCACGAAGCCTGGTAGAAAGTACCCATGAGTACTGAGGGAGCCGACTGATGTCATTGCATGCCAATTCGAAGAGGTTCCTGAAGACTGGAAGAAAGCAAATTTCACTCCTACCTTCAAGAGGGACAAGAAGAAAAATCCAAAAAACTACAGGTTGGTCAACCTCACCCCAGTCACTGAGATGGTGATGGAGCATCTAACACTGGAGCCTAATGCTATACCCCAGTTGTCAATACTGGGGCCAGTACTATTTGCATTTTCATTAATGCTCTTAAAATGAGACAGAGTCCACTCTTCAGAAGGTTGCAGATGATATAAAACCAGGGAAGGGTGGGGTGAGCAGCAGATGCGCCAGATGGTTGTGCTTCCACTCAAGTAGGACGTCAAGAGGCAGGAGAAATGGGTAGAGAGCTAAAAAAAACCCCATCAAGTCCTGCAACTGAGGAGGTAGATGTTCAGACAAATGACAGATCATTCACAGAAAAAATATTTAGGGCCCAATTCACTGAAGCAGTGATGTATGCATTGCAACTGACTGCTGGATGGTCTCTTGTACAGTCAACTGTTGTCTTGCTTGAATTCAAAGACAGCAAGTAATCTTGGTTTCTGTTTTTCTCTGAGTTTTTTGTCACATGTTGAAAGTCTTCAAGCAGCCAGAACCCCTCTGGCAATGAATGCTAATGAATATAATGTTTCATGTAATGTCATGAATTAGCTTTACCCTTCAAGAGACAGTGATGCTCAGTTTAGGGACTGAGAATATGTGTTCTCTTGATACAGAAATTGTAATCTAAATGTGTAGCCTAACAGGGAAATCCAGAGAATTTTCCACAGGTAAAGTCATCTATATTGCTCTTATGATGCAAACCTTTAGTGAAAAATAGACTATATGGCTGAACTGAATGATTTCCCTGTGTCACAGATGTTAGAGCTTCAAGAAAATGTTGTACCAACAAAGAGATAGATGAACAGTTCTGATATTAACAGTACAGTTAAACATTATTACACCCAAAGTGCTTCAATTTCTCCATTTAAGTTCTTCAGAAATAAACATTTTAACACTGTTCAGCAGGAGTTCTCAGCAGTAATGCCAATAAAGAAGCACAAACGAGTAATTTCTTTATCAGTTTTTTTACAAATTTTCATATATCATGAACACTTGCTGCTGTTTCCTGTGTTCCTGTTAGTTTCCTTCCACATTATGTCTAGGGAGGGGAAAAAATTATAGATGGGTGATCTCGCCATGCAATACATCTGGACTCAGTCAAATGTTACCATTCAGTTATTCTATGGAGATCTTTGTATAAAACAGTTTAAAGTACAGGTTGTTATAGAATATTAACACATAACAAAAGACCTTGTACAGTGAAATGTAAGAGGCCACCAAGTGTGCTTTATAAATTATCTTACAAAACCTTCTGAGCAAGTGTAATTTGAGGTTTAAGACAAGTGGAGAGAGTATAAGCTTGACTGCCATCTTGACAGCATAGATATAACTCAACTCAATGAGTGAGGAATAGATAATTTGATGCAAGGCTGGTGCAACAAGGATAACTGCAACACCTCTCATTTTAGCCTAAAAATATTTTAAACTGCATAGTCTAGTCTGTTTTGAATGTTATAGACTAGAGTGCTAGTACTTGAATTTTACTGTAACTTGGTTTTAGTTGAGTTTTATTAGTGGCAACTGGATAACAAGGCAGGTCTTACCTAAGTGTGTTTAAAATCTATACACTGGATCCTGGAACAGCCTAAAAAGAACCCCCGGAACCAGATTTCTTTGCCTTTTTGAGGGTGCAGTGGAGGATGGATACATGAAGTTGATACCTCAGGGCCAGTGGAAGCAGGAGCATCTCCTGGTGACTGGTGATGACCTTGAGGGATCTCTGGGACACAGTAAGATTTTCAGGTACACATTTAAACCCCTAGCACTATAGGAGTATAACCATGATGGATTTTGCATTGAGGTTTGACGTTTGGATGTTTTATAGTAAATACTAGAATTATAAATGGCAGTAATTATTTGAATCAGCTGCAAATATTATTTTTTTACTTTAACCTCTACTTTTCTTAAAACAAGATTTATTTCAAAGAATTCAGGAAAAGGTAAATGAAGACTTTTTAATGGACATAGTCAAAACTGCCTTTCTAAACTTTTTTCAATCTCAAGTGCATAATTGTTCTGTTGAGAGAAGTGTTCCTACAAAAATGTTCACCTGATATCCAATAATTAAATATCATCTTTTTTTGTCCACATAGTAGGAAGAAAATATTTTTTTAAAAAGGTTACATAAGGTAAAGCTAAAAAATGCTTTCCTGTTTACTAGAAAAGAACATCTGCAAGGATAATTAACTCACAACAGTAACTAAAAGGGATAGTTTACTAAACACAATTAGTCATTAATGAGGTTATGTTCTCTGAGTCCTGCTTTAATTTTTTGTCGTATTATTTTACAGTTTGATTTTCCATCAAACTCTGATTTCCACTCATTGTTCAGTGTTTTCCACAGTCCTAAAACCACATGAAAAATAAAGATCTGCAAGAAAGATGTTTCAGTGACTTGACATGGTGTTCTTCAGTGACCGTTAGACACCCCTAATATGACATAGGAACCCCTAATAATTAATGTACACATTAAAAAAAAAAGGAAAAAAGAAAGAAAATAATAAAAACACTAACCTGAAAAAAGTACTCATTTAGCTTTATATTGTCTAGCAATGCACAATTCTTCTGTTGATTTGTAAGTTAACAGGCAGAGGCTGTTACTTCTCTTCAGAGTATTTTAACTCCATCAGCAGTTTACCCGCAAGCCTGAACAAAATAGAACACACAGAACTTGATCCAGCTTCTCTCACAGTGGAGGTGGGTCTTTCCATAAAGATCACCCAAAATTATCATATATTCTATGTTAAAACTCAGGGTTTAGCCTTATAGCTTAAGAGAGTAAACAAATTTAATCTAAATTTCCCTCACAAGGCTTCCCTGTTTCTATCAGAAATGTAATTCTCTCTGATCCAGAAAACCATTCCTTTCCCCCAGCTTACATCCCTTTCAGAGCCAGACATATCCATCTTTCAGTATAACTCAAAGATAATTGCTCGAATTGTATAGCCAGATTTTTGCATCTGAGACTGAAACTGCTCGACAAAAGAATTTCACATTCTTCTTACAAAAGTCAGAGAGGCCACTAGTTTACGCAGGAAGAAACTGACTCTAGCTCAATCAGAAAATCACCTGCCAAGTTCAAAATCCTCCCAACAACTGAGTAACGCCTCCCCACCCCCCTCGGTCCCCCACCCCTGATGATTACTGCAGAGTAGTTGAGTCAATCAATCAAGTTTAGCATTTGTGAAATAACCACTTTGTAAGAAGTTATTAAGGGATTCTCAGGTACACCACACCCTGACTGTCATATCTGAAAGTCATTTGCTTGCAAATGCTTTAAGCAAAACAGTGCAAACTGAAAACTGAAGAATACGTAAGAATAAAACTGTAAAAAATAATTATCACGTGCTCCATACTGTTAGAATAGCCCTTTAATATGTATAATTATAAGACTATTTCTTGTTTCATCTATGTTTAAATTATATTCATCCCACGGAGGGCATGTTCGAAGAAAATTTCCATTCGCTCATGGAACTAAGTTTCATTGGCCTCAAACTATTTATTTCCTCTCCACTGTATCATTACTTTTATGTAACTGTCAACTGAATATGCTCAAATATGTAATTTTAGATTGTTTTATAAAGAAATCTGTGAATAGGACATCTTCCCAACAGATTTTTTTGAATGACAGCTAATGGGAAGTAAAATTATAGTTACACTCTGATCCTCTGTCCTGCAGCAAAGTCTTACAATAAATCCCAGAGAAGGGCCACCTCCTTCAGTCCATCTCTAGGTAGAAAACAACAACATCACAGCTATCAACATGTTCTCGGCTATAATTTTGACAGTTTTGCCAGTCAAGCCTCTGAGGTTTATCAAGATGCTATTGAAGTTGCTGTTAACAATGCATAAAAATTTATGTCTCCATTACTTCAGTACCAAGAATTATCAATAAATTTCTGTAAAAACTCTCTTTTAGTCATCATAAATAATATTTCTACTCCTTTACTGACACAATGTAAGTATGTATGGCTGCTCATGTACTTCACACATAGCAAAAGAAAATAAGCTTAATTTGCATAACAGTGAAGGGCTGGAGACCAAATAGAGTATAATCAGAATTCTTGTCAAATTAACAGCATTAGAATATTTTGTCCAGATGAGAGTACATTTCTCAATTCAAAAAAAAAAAAGGAAACCAGATCAACAAAAAAACCCCCTCAACCCCTCCTTTAAAATCCAAGTCAGCCTTAAATGACCACTGGGAGTTTATGTATTTATATTCTTAGATATTCAGATTATTTCTACTAAGAGCATAATATGCTTCTACTACTAGAAATATTAATCACTAAGAATGCTTACTGCAAATTTGTTTTCAAGTTAACCAGGAATATTTTTGTGGGGTAATTTCTTTCCATTTAAATAGTGCAGTGAAATGACAAAGTGATATTAAAGTCCTGGTTCTAATTCCAATAAAGTAATAAATATTTTTAATAAAAATGTGGAAAATAGTTTTCACTGAATTATGTTCTTATGTAACAAAAACATTTGTCCTACGAAAAGCTCTACGGATCTTTTAGCAGCTGTGTGAAAAATCAAAATATGGTCACAAACCCAGCACTGTATGATCAGTCTTCCTTCCATTTCTTTGTGGACCCATCATAAATAATGAAAAGTTGATTTTTTTGACAGTAGAGTTCAATTCAAATAAAGTTGGAAGCATCTACAATGCTTATCTGTGACACTTCTGAATACTTTTCTGGAAGTCATAAGGGAAAACTCAGGAGCACCAAACAAGAGCTTTCCCATACACCTTTTGTCATTTCTGCCAGAAATTAACTGGCAATGTCACATTTCTGAGTTCCTACTTAGTTTCTCAGAAATACAGGAAAGCTGTACATTCAAACAATAAAGGAAACTTTAAGATTAAAGGTTAAGTACTATAAATATTTATTTTATACTCATGCCTCTTTGTTTTGGTTTGGTTTTAATGATTTATCTTATTTTAAGCAGTGATTATAGAACAGTAGAATTACTTAGTTTGGCTAGGACCTCTGCTCAAAGCAAGGACAAGAAGATCAGGTTATTCAGGGACTTGTCCAGTCCAGTTTAGTATATCTTCAAGGTGGAGATTACACACCATACTGGGAATCCTGTTGCAGTATTTGACTGTCATTATATTCATGTTCTTCTGACCAGAATTTCTCATTTATCACCCCGTACCCACTGAATTTTGCTATAGTGTCATGCACCCCTAAGAATCCATCTCCATCTTCTCTGTGTTCTCTCATTAAGTGGCTGAAGGGAGCACTAAGATCTCCCTGTAGCCTTATCTTCTTAAGGCTAAGGAAACCCAGCTCTCTTAACCTCTGCTCAATCATCAACTCCTCCAATCCCCTCAACATCTCAGTAGCTCCTCAGGGAGTTCACTCCAAGATATCAAAGACATCAGTGTCTTTTATGTCATGAGGTACTCAAACCGGACACAATACTCCAGATGCTGTCTCATAAGTGCTTAATAGTGGGGGAAAATTACTTCCCTTAGCCTGCTGGCTTCTTTCTTGCTAATATTCTGCAGAACGTAGTTGGCTTTCCTTGCATAGCTTTCTTTACCAAGACCTGCCCATGACCTCTGCAAAGATGCTTTCTATCCTGCTGGCACTAAGCCCATGCTGCTGCATAGTGAATTATTCCAAGCTAGACACAAAACTTAGCATTTGCCTTTGTTGAAATTCATGAGGTTTCTGTCAGCTTGACCTTTTCCACGTCCTTTGTCATTAGATCCTCTGCCCCACTGAGCAATGGGCCCAGTTTCCCTAGGCTGCCTTTTGCTGCATGTACTCACAAAAGCTAATCTTATTTCTTTTATAGTTCTTTATCCAACTGAGCTACAGTTTTCTAACCTTACCTCTACATGCTTAGACAATCCTCTGTAGGAAATAACCAGGAAGCTCATCTCAGCTTCTATCTTCTGTGTACATTATGGTTTTGCTTATCTTCAGTCAAGATTCTGATGTTCACCCCTTATGGTCTTCTGCAATAGCTATGTGGCTATCTGCATACTGGCATAGACCACTCTAACTGATGAGGTTGTCCTTGAAGGTTAACCAGCTCACCTGGGCCCTCTTTTTCTCCAGATCAGACTCCTACAGGATCAAGCCACAAAGATCCCTGAACAAGACAGTTTTTTCTCCTCAAGTCCATGTGTTTCTATTTTTCTCCTCAAGTCCATGTCTTGGTCATTTTTTTTTTCCCAGAATTTTAAACTCTACAGTCTCGTGGTCAATGCAATTAAGTCAACTGGTGACCTTCACATCTTTAGCCAGTTTTTTTTTCTTTTTTCTGTGAATAACAGATGTGCAGAACATCTGACCTAACTGGCTCACTGATCACATGTGTCAAGAAATTGTCTTTAACACACAACAGGCATATCTTGGTTTGCTTGCACTCTGACATGTTATGTTGCCCTTCTAGCAGATACTAAGATTTCCCATGATTTTCCTGGTCATGAGACTTCCTTAAGCTGGTTCGAGAATTCATCTACTTACTTCTTTTGGGCATGCAATTTGTAGCAGATGCCTTCCACTATGTAACTCAGGCTGGTCCGTCCCATGATCATTACTGATGGCTCTTTACTGGCTTGTCAACTGCACCAAGACAAAGCTCTTTGCAACTGAGCCACTCCTTTGCCCAGAAGATTACAGTGACTGCTAACACAAAACGTCACAGTGCTCATTCTTTATGAAAAGAACTATTCCTGCGCTAATTAACTTGCCCGCACCTCAAAGACTGCTCTATCTTCCAAAGCACTTTTGCAATTCAAGCAATTCATTTTAATCCTACAACTCTATGGGAACAGTAACCTCAGGTACTGGAGGGTTTCACTCTTTGAGATCCACATATTAAACACCATGTAATTTTTTTTTCTTCTCTCTCAGTGGACAAAACCCCCACAATTTTTATACATATTTTGCATACAATGTGACAGCTAACATTTTACTCAGAGGTCTGATAGGGTTACACACAACTGACACATTTATATCTGCTTCTACATATGACTAAAAGAGCTGTGTTTTGCAGAACCACTCATGTCATGTAAATCGGTTTGTTAAATCCTTCCATCACTTACCTAAATCAACGGGCTTTTAAAAATTTATTATATCACTCTATTTTCATTTATTCACTTACTCCTGTCAAGTGTCATATAGAAGGTCAGCTATAGAAATTAATAAGTGTAGGGGGTTATAGTTTTTTGGTGTGGTTTCTGTTTGTTTTTTGGTTTCTTTTTTTTTTAATAAAATATTTTTCAATTTCTATATAATTGGGATGACAACTTTGGATTTATATAAAGCAAGTGAAGAAATAAAGTACAATATAATGAGCAATAAATAAATGTCCCACTGTATCTTTATACTGTCTCATACACATCATGTGTAGACAACATTCTCCTGTGAGAAGTGCACATACATTTTTTCCAACTTATCTTTTATGTCCTTTTGCACATTAACTAAAAAGTAATGATGCCTTTTATCACAAAAACATGCCTTATCAAGACAGTGATTTTTGTTTTGATGCCTCAAATTTTTGTAATTCTTACAGAAGCTTAATACTGATAACCCTGAGCACTAAATTTATCAGTCAATTTGAGGAAAAAAAAAAGACTTTTCATTTGGTTTTTGAGTCTGCAGTATAATATGAAACAATGA